ATATCCATAGTTATGCTTTAAGGAAATATAAATAACAAAGGGCTTTTCGGCAGGCTTGAAGGGTTTCCTAGAAACCACCATAAAACCATCCAGGCTTGCTACCTTCCAGGGAAACAGTTGTTTAATTACTTTTATAACTTTCTTCCACCAGTTTTTTGGTACCCTTCAGGCAGTTTGCCTCATCATCAATCAATTTTGTTATCTTAGAAATGTTATCTTAGAAAATAAAATAGTCCATTTCATCCATATTTTCACATTTGTCAGCCCAAAGTTGTATGTGATATTCTCTCCAAATCCAAGGGTAGATATGTTTTCTTATTTTTAACATTACATATTTATGTCTTTCTTATTTCCTGGCCAAAAGTACCCAAATTTTCAAGTAAATAATATGTTTCAAAGAATCAGCTCTTACCTTTCTTTATCAAGTGCAGTGCTTTGGCTGTTTTGCTAACAAATGTTTAGCAGGCTGGGCCTATTCCTGGGAAGTCCCCAAGGCAGCCAACATCAGTGATAAAGGCACAGACACCAAGCCTTACCTCGATGAGCTTCCTTTCATAGGAGCTCGCTAGTTCCTCAGCAACTTCTCCCGGCTTCTGCTCGGCAACAGTGACTTCTCCATCGACATTCCAAAGGTTGGGTACCACTTTAGGGAAAAAAAGACATTCCATAAATATTTTAACAGTAATCAAACATTATTCTTCCAGAAAAAAAAATATATACGCGCACACACACACACATATATATACACACACATACACACACACATATACTAATAAAAGGATAATATGTTAATTAGACTGGGTCAACCGGCCATCTTCCGGACGTCTGACTTCCTCCTGGACAAAGCCATGGTGGTGGGGGCCGAGGCAGAGGCAGTTAGAGGCAATCAGGCTGGCAGGGAGGGCAGTTGGGGGCGACCAGACCAGCAGGGGAGGGCAGTTAAGGGGCATCAGGCCAGCAGGGGAGAGCAGTTAGGGGCGAGATCAGGCTGGCAGGGGAGGGCAGTTAGGGGCGATCAGGCAGGCAGGCAGAGGGGTTGGGGGCAATCAGGCAGTGGAAGTTAGGGGCAATCAGGCAGGCAGGCGAGTGGTTAGGAGCCAGCAGTCCCAGATTGTGAGAGAGGGATGTCCCCGATTGGAGAGGGTGCAGGCTGGGCTGGGGGAACCCCCCCTCCTCCCGTGCACCAGGCCACTAATATGTGTATGTGTGTGTGTGTGTGTGTGTGTGTGTGTGTGTGTACACACATCTACCCTCTGTCTAGTCATCGCACACATCAAATATTTACAGAGAATATACCACCCCCTACAATACTTAAGAAAGACTCAAGTCCCGCCTCTCCATCGTTCAGTCTTCCTAAAACATTATTTTACAAACATCACTGCACATGCAAAGCCTTTAATGACTATTCATTAAAGCCACAGCTTCTTCACCTGACCTCAGGTGAAGATATATATATTCTTTTCCAAGTAGATTTTCCAGAGAAAAAGCTCTTTTTAAGGGAAAAAGAATCACAATTACTAATTACTTCAACATTGCGACATTTCCACCCAATGGAACAGTGCAATAAAGTAAATGATAACACATATTTAAAAATGGAAGAACTGTCCTAGAGACAGATGCACATTCCAGGGGGAAACAGACAGTGGGCTAGAAGACAGAAGAGACTATACTTGAATCCTTTACACAGGTCAAATGTGTTTTTTCCCCCAATAAAAAGTTTTCCTGTGAGGCTGTGCCTGCCTAGATCCAAGTGAACTGGTAGTGGGGGTCAGAGTGCACGTGGAACCAATAAAAGTTGGCACTAATAAACTGTACTTAGAGTGAAAGCGCTGGAAAAACTCTAAAACCAGTGCACAATGGCAATGCATAGAGAGACTGGCTCCCAGGTGAGCGCAGGAACTGGCAGGGTGTTGAGAGGTGAAGTTGAGAGGAGAGGAAGGACATGGAGGTCAGGTGAAGAAGCTGTGGCTTTAATGAGTAGACATTAAAGGCTTTGCATGTGCAGTGATGTTTGTAAAACAATGTTTTAGGAAGACTGAATGATGGAGAGGCGGGACTTGAGTCTGTCTTAAGTATTGTAGGGGGTGGTACATTCTCTGTAAATATTTGATGTGTTCGATGACTAGATAGAGGGTAGATGGAGGGGTAAGAAGAAAACACCATGCAGCATTAGTCCACGTAAGATACAATAGAGGCTTGAATTAGGGCGCTGGCCTTTGCAGAGGTTGGACATTGAAAGCAGGGAAGACAGTCAAAGGGTTCAAGGGAGTAGGAGGGGTTTGACTTAGGCCCAGACCAAGTCAAAACAAAGCAATTCAGTAAATGCTCTTGAACACAGAATGCTCCGTGCTCTCTAAACAGCCAACAGAACAGCCTGGATCAACCTGGAGGGCTTTACTGTGTAAAATTTAAAAGTTAAAAGAAAAACTTCCATTAAAAAAATTAACACGGCTGACACCAATAGGTATTTCTACTTTTAGGTATATGCCCATATATGTTTACTTTATAGAGAGGAGTAAATAAATAAAAGCTGGGATTGAGCCAGATAATTGCAATAAAAGTAGAACAAGAACAGGAAAGAGCTGCCCCAGCAGTTAAGAAAAAGACCCAGTGGCGGCAGTAAGAACATGGACCAGCCCAAGTTGGAAACGAGCAACGACTGTGCAGATCCAGCTTCCAGGTGTCTGCGAGGTGAAGCCCCTGGGAGCCCAGCACAGTGTGATGAGGTGGCCATGAGGCAAAGGAGAAACCTAAGGCCAGCCGGGCAGTGACTGGGATCTGAGAGACGAGGGGATGGGTGAAAGGCAGTGGCACCAAGGCAGACAGTGAAGTGGGCAAAGGCTGGGCAAAAATGAGGGTCGCTGAGCCTGAACTGCCCTGTGGCTCCACTCCAGCCCCCTCGCTAAGCCTCCACCAGATCACAGCTGGTTAGAGCCCACAGAGGCAGCAAGCCCCTGAGTGACAACAGGGAGCACACAAGGATGAAATCCTAAGTTGTTCCCACCCAGGTGGTGACTACAGCTCCACCCCTACCATAGGGAGTGATCAAACAACAACCTAAAGCCTGAAATAGGTGCTTAAAAAAACTGTAAAGGACTTCCAGGTAAAGTTGACAGACTGACACACTAATTTACATTCACATCTTCTCAGAATCCCACTAAAATACCAATTTAAAAGTCCTTTCTAAAGGCCTCACGACCTTAAAGAGAAAGAGAATGAGAGAAGAAACAAGACAATCGAATTTTAGAAGCTAAGAAGCAAGTAGGTAACTGGACCGGAGAAAATGTCATTCTTATTTGAGTGAACAACACCAAACACCATCTTATAAGAACGGAACAATTCGCAAAAGGCCAAGCGATCACTAGCACCAGGCTCTTCGGGGAGTGGGAAGGAGCACGGGGCTCAGAGGAATGTAACTGGAGACTAGGGTTCCTTCTCCGGAAAAGGTAAAACCGTAGGTTTGGACTAAGTTAAAGACAAAGGTATCTTATGGAAAACAGGGACATAAATAAAACACACTGATTTCAAGGTTCTACCTCCTCTTCCCCTCTCCCCAAGTCTCCCATTCCCAGAATAGCTGGCAGCCAACCTATACTTGTAAGCAAAGGAAGAGAAAGTATTTTCCTATAAATCTAACTAACTGGAGGGGAAAGATATGAAGAGATCAATTTGGGGGAGGAGGGTCTCTCCAGTGAAACAGCAGAGCCAGATCACCCCCAGGAAATGATGAAAGATTCTAAATCAGTGTTTTAGTCCCCACGCCTGCCTCTGATAGACAGCCAGAATCACCTTCCACTTGAGACGAGCACCTAAGTTGGAAAGACAGGGACCAGCATAACCAGACAGAGAAAAATAACTCATCGGAAAGAGAAACAATTTAGGGAGAAGTACACTTCAAGAGCAAGCTATTAGTAATATTCCCAGAGAGAGAGAGGAGATGGTGTAGCTGAGAAACAATAATAGAGCAATATTTATTTTAAAAGGAGAAAAAAATAACACAGAGAGAGCGAAAAAGCTCTTTTGGAGAGCCAAACTGTGATAGCCAAAGGGAAACTAGATATACCAGTAAAGACCAGGAGGTAAGAAAATGTCTAGAAAATAGAGCCAAAGGGTATGAAACGGAAAACAAGAAATGAAATGAAGAGTTACCGCATGAGAAGAGTTAAAAAACGCAGAGTGGGGAAGACATAACACAGAGAGGACGAAAACAAAGATATAATTCCAGAAATGCTCCGGAACCAGGAGACAGGAGAGCTGAGCTGGGGGAGCTCCGAGGGCGGCAGCAGGAGGACACGCCGTGCTCTCACACCTCGCGGTGAGGTCTCAGCATGGAGATAAAGAGAGGGCACAGAGCTCCAGTGGGAAGGCAGAATTCTGCAGCAGAGGGAAATGGGAAACGGCACGGGGTTTCTGAACTGCAGGCTGTGGGCTGGAAAGCAATGAGTGACACCATCGCTGTCCTCCAAGGAAGGCTCTCCAAGCTAGAATGATGCACCACACCAGACCACGTGAGAAGCAGGTGAAGACACTTGCAGATACACAACCTCTCAATAACTAGAAAAGAGAAGAAATCTAGTTACAGGAAAACAGAGATTCCAAGAAATAGGGGGCCCAACACTAACATGAGTGAGAAAATCATTCATAACTGCTCAAAAGTAAAAACAACATATACAGCCATCACAGGCAACTGATGGGTAAAGAAAATGGGGTCTAGCCATACAATGGAATAGTATTCAGCCATAAAAAAGAATGGGGTACTAGTACATGCTACACACACATGAGCCTTAAAAACATCATGCTAAGTGAAAGAAGCCAGATACAAAAAGCCTCGTATTTCATGATCCCATTTATACAAAATGTTTAAAAGGAGAAAAAAATATTGGCTTCCAGGGATGGGAAGAAGGGATGGGGAATGATTGCAATTGAGTACCATAGGACTTCTTTTGGGGGTGATAAAGTGTTTTGAAATTTGATAGTGATGATAGTTACACAATCTTGTGAATATACCGAAACACCCTGAATTGAGTACTTGTATGGTATATGAATTGGTAAAACCAATTGCAGCAGTGGCCCCTGTGGCAATGGCAGCAGTGAAGTGGGGGGAGCAGGGTCACAGAGCGGCCAGGCTTCCAGCCACAGAGGCCAGAGGATCCCAGGTGTGACAGCTGCCTCAGTGTGAGCATACTGAGGAAATCTACATAACTAAGAGAGCATTTGGAGATGAATTAGTATTAAGTACATAGGACATCAACCAAGTTAAAATAAAATGATAAGTATTAACTCAAAAGAAATAAAAAAGCTGTGCAAAAATAATGATTATGTACCTCACAGCTCAGCTGGATGGCATTTTCAGAGTCATAATAATGTAATCATGGACCAGGGATCGAACCAAAAAGATTATATGTCTGTGCTGGAGGTGTGTGTGTGTTTTGTGGGGGCGGAAAGATCAAAGAAAGCTAATCATCATATTCCACAGAGGGAAATCGATAAATAGCACCTACAGTGGAGAAATCAACAAGTGGCAACAGACACGTTATTCAGAGATATCAAGGTAACTACCAAAAGAATTGGTTAAAAGGTTTAAAGCAGTGCCCTGGCCGGCATGACTCAGTGTGAGCATACTGAGTTTCAGCCCGCACACTG